GTTTTTAACGAGGCGATGGGGGGGACGTCTCGAAGTTCAAAGTATAATTCTCCGCCTGCCGGCGAGCTCTCCGGGCCGAACGATGAAGGGACTAGATACAGGGAAACTCCAATATATGTATGAAACCGACATGTACAATACTCCAACATATGAAATAAAGCAACATTTTACTCACCATCGGTCTTCTTTTGCAATCTAACATTCGACGTCGCTCGAATTACAACGGGTTAACATTTCGACCAACTCGAAATAACACCCCTATGGCCAAAGGCCATCGCCAAATGAAAAATTCGACCTCGCTCGAACATTTAATATTCGACCTCGCTCGAATTACAACGGGTTAACATTTCGACCAACTCGAAATAACACCCCTACGGCCAAAGGCCATCGCCAAATGAAACATTCGACCTCGCTCGAATTACAACGGGTTAACATTTCGACCAACTCGAAATAACACCCCTACGGCCAAAGGCCATCACCAAACGAAATATTCGACCTCGCTCGAAATACAACGGGTTAACATTTCGACCAACTCGAAATGACACCCCTATGGCCAAAGGCCATCGCCAAATGAAAAATTCGACATCGCTAGAATCGTTTAATATTCGACGTCGCTCGGATTACTTGATATTCAAGCGAGACCGAATCGTTTAACGTTCAACGTCGCTCGGATTACTTAACATCCGATGTTGCCTGAATCACTTTATACAACCTTGTTCGAGTTATTAAGATCTATGATCGTCTACGAAAAAACATCACACGAGGATGAAAAGCCCGGGACCCCCTCACAACAAACAAAAATAACAATTCAGAGGTACACAAGAAAAAGTAATCGTTCCATTACAACAGATATATTACAAGAGTTTTTTACAAAGGGCTCAAAAACGCCCTCACAAAAATAGCAAATCAAAAAACGAATACAACAAAGTCCTACGCCACATCGTCCCCCGTGGCATACTCCTCATTATACCAAGAATTGGAGACGAGCCTGTCCGCATCATCATCATCAACGTCGTCACCGCCAGGCATGTCGGGGTCGTAACCACAAGCCTCACGAGCTGCACGTGCTTTAACACGCACATCCCGAAGTTCCGACTCGGAAACCTTCCCCTTTGCTTGTAGGGACTTGTACACGTCAAGTTGAGCCTCGGCATGGACCCACATCTCATATAATTCCCGCGGCACGACGGGATCAGCCGCGGGATGAGACGTAGAGGGTTGCGACTGCCGTCACACTTCCTCCGCCTTCAAAGCAATAACTTGTTCGTTCAACACGGACAACTCCGCCTCCAGATCTCGGATCCGTTCCTCATACCTCGCTACCTTGAGCACGGACGTTTCCATCTCATTGTTCCGCTCAGACCTACAGACGTGAAGGGCGTCTTCCAAAGCTGCTACCTCAGAGACGGCAGTCGCCCTATCCCTTTCAGCACGAGCCAATCCATCAGCCTTAACACTCAACTCGCCCCTCAGATCGAAAGCCTCCGCCTCCCGTCGATCAAGTTCAGCAGTTAAGGTGGCCATCCGCGCTTGAAGGTCGGCGTTCTCGGACATCACCCCCTTGCACAGCTCAAACTCGTCCTCCTTGGCCTTAAGAGCCGTCTTAAGTTCACTACATCGGGCAATGACCTTCATCAGCTCTTTGTCCCGTTCTTTCAGCTCTTTGACCTTTGGCGCCAACTCTTCCTCCTTCTACTTAAGCCCGTCACGGAACAACTGAAAATTGATGTCCTGAGTGAAGACATCGGCCAATGCACGATGCTTAGTGCGATACTCCTTGTATTTAGAGGCCACTTTCCCAAAAACGGCCGTCCTCCGCTCATCCCTCCGATCGCGCTCGATCTCCATGATGAGAGTCTAACATGCAGAGGAAAGAATACCAGCTTAAGTAGATTACGTATACAAAAAAAATTCAAAAGCAAAAAGAAGAGAGAAAAACGCTTACCCGCAAAGCCATGCCGGAAATACTCTGCGATAGCTCTGCGTCACTCATCGCCTTAAGCGTTGTACTCTCGGAAGCAGCGCACATAGGGGCAAACGCCGATGCTGCCTGCTCGGAATTCGCCAGCAAGTCATAATCCACGGGAATGACTATGTGTCGATCAGGACCCTCCGTCCTCACTTCCACGCGAGTATGTCGCTCCAAGAAAGCTCGCACATCTTCGGGATTAACGTCCGCACCTGAATCTTCGTCCTCGGCATGCACCACTCCACCTCCTCTGACAGCAGACGACGCACTACCTTCGGCAAATCGTACAGATCCCCCGCCTTGACATGCCCCTTCGGTCTTAGGGGATCTCCCCGCTAAAATGGCATCCGCCATAAAAACAGCCCCTGTACCTAACCTAGGTGAGGACGCCATTCCCGAAGTAACAACTCTTTTCTTTTCAAGATCGGTGGCGATGGCCTTACCAAGATCCACCCTCCTCCTTTTCCTCGACGGTGATTCATCCCCGTTGGAAGGCTCATCCACGAGGTGGTAGACAGGCCGAGAAGAGATCTCATCCCGTACAACGACTTCATAAGGAGAGTCCCTTGTTGGTACAGTTTGAGTACGACCTCCTTGGACGGACTCAGCTAAGGTAAATTGCATCCCCGCCGATGCGACGGGCTGGCGAAACGCCGGGACCGGAGCCTTCTTCTTGGAAACCCTACGATCTATCACCACAAAGTGGTCGTATCAATAAACGGCGGCAAACAACCGAAGGCCAGAGCAAAAGGAACACTTACCCGACGAAACTTTCGGCCCAAAGCGTTTGAGGAAGGCAGGCCAATCTCGAGTCCCCACTACGTAAGGTAACACAAGAGCTACCCAATCCTCAATGCCGACGACGGGAAAGGGTGCACGTCTCTCAGCTACACAGAAAAGTCACAAGTAAATAAAAATTAGAAAGAACGAAAGTAAACAACAGGCGTACGCTACCAACACCTACGGTTGTGATTCCACTGCTCTGGAAATGCAGCGGGGTCCGATACCAAATGATCCGTTCTGATGAAGAAATATTTGTACCAAAACTTTCGGCTTACCCTGTCGTCAGTTCCAACCACCAACCCCCTGGTCCCACGATGTCGCAGATGAATCATGGTACCCCTGTGGAAACTCGGGGAAAACAAATGTAAAAGGTGGTGAATGCCACACACCCAGCCAACTCCGCATACTTCGTAAGCACCAGAAAAATCTTATAAGTATACAGAGACAGCTGCGCCGGGCAGACTTCATATAATCGACAGAACTCCTCCGCCAACGGAAGGAGGGGGAGGGTATGACCGATCACAAAAGGATACACGTAAAAAGCACAATATCCCGGTCTGTGGACCTCCACGAGGTCCTCCCCGGCTGGAACCATCTCGACATAAGGAGGAATATTATACATGGACCGGAGTTCATTTATGTGAGTTGGACCGGTCTCAGAGATCACCGGAACGGGGGAAGGAGCAGGCTCTTTGTGGAAATCGTTCCTGTACATAGGGTTTCTTGGGAGTATCTCTTCCACGGTGGGGAATTCTATCACCCTCCTCAACAGCTACATCCCCGCTACCGGAAGGAGGGGCCATGGACAACGGAGTGGCGTCGGAAACCTCATCATCTGCACGGTGAGTTCGGGGCATTTTGATAATAGAAGGTATGCTGGTAATCCCAGAATGAGGAACAGTGACTGAACGGAAAGATGAGAAGTAGGGCTACGGTAACTGAGCTAAAGAACCGAGAAAAATAATCAAAGGGGGCAATGCATACACAAGGAAGGAAATGGCTAAAAGTTTCTGAAAAAACAAAATCTTCACCTATTTATAGGGTTGGATGGCACGAGAATCGAAGCAGAAGACTGCTAATGACGCTAAAACCAAAGCGACAAGCAATCAGATGTTGTCTCGGGAAGGTGCGTAATGATGACGCGCGTGGGAGTGACTTCATATCCTGATAACTACGTCAATCAGGATTCCATAGGACGTGTCGCTCTCTCGGCCTTGACCACACCGGCGCAATTCAACAGCCAAATTCTCCAATGAAAACTGATGATATCCGGTTATCAAGGACGTGCAGGGCCACGACCTCAACAAGCGGAGGGACTAACTGTATTGGTCCAAATTTGGCAACCACGACAACGGATTAGCAAGACATAGGACGGAGTCACTACAACACAACGACTGATAGTCGTTGTGGCAAAGGACGACGACCAGAGGCGGGCAGCCGAAATAAGATAGTATCGGTAGTTTAAACTTAGAAAGGACAGGAAGAATAAGCATGTTGGATATTCTTTATGTTGTAACTTTTAGGGTTTTTTTTGGGAAATATCCCTTATAAATAGGAGGAGATAGTAAACAAGAGGGGGATCTGCCTTTTTCGAAGAACGCATTGTAAGAGAAGAGAGGGAATATACGAAAGAATTGTCTTATTCACTTTATCTAAGCACATGTTGTTTAACCTTCATCCATAAATCTTTAGATTCCACATTCATATCAGCTGCAGACCCTTTTTGTGTCGATAAAAGGAAGAATCACCCAATCACATAATCATTGGGTGACAGTTCCTTCTCATTATAACCATTGTCGTTTCTTGCATTCATTGCGCATTTATGATATTATATACACTGTCATTAAGTTCACTGGTTAGCCTTACTAAATTCTTCTCGTTGTATTAGACTTTCGTCTTATTTGATCAAGGATTTATTAAGCTCAACTAAGATTCACCCCATTAATATGTTATCGATTGGTTTAGCAATTATTTGTTCAAACAATAGCCCGCACCCACCCTCATTTATTTAGCTTTACAAAATATTGTCCTACTTCCCTAAATCAAGATCAATCCTTGAGAGTTACAACAAAATCTGTACTACTATAAACAAGGGAGTTTAATTCAACTTTTGATATACCCTGATCAGCTTGAATTTTTGTATTCACAATAGATATATAATAGAGTTGTGTGCCAAGCTCAAATTAAGAAGACAGTGGAAAGCAAAGTTGGTGCAACGACAAGTGAATATCAAGACTTATTACCGGTGATGGCGGAGAAGTTAGACGTGCATACATTTGTTAGGGAGCTATGTGGAGGATTCCGGCTGCTGGCCGACCCAACAGTCGGGTTGATCACACCGGCTAGTTTGAGAAGAAACTCTGCGCTTCTCGGGATGGAGGGAATGAGCAAAGAAGATGCAGAGGCTATGGTGAGAGAAGGAGACTTGAATGGTGATGGAGCATCGGACGAAACAGAGTTTTGCATACTCATGGTCAGACTTAGCCCTGAGATGATGCAAGATGCTGAGACCCGGCTTGAAAGGGCACTTCAACATGAGTTTTTTGCACACCCCTGCACTTGACATCCACAATCGGAGGTACAAATTACTTAGTATAATTTGTATAAATATGTATATTCTTTAATCCGAAACAGAGTTGCGGTGCAGATAACGCACTTCCAACTCTGTGTATCGCTATTTGTCATAGCTAGTTAGCTTGTTAATTGGTACGGTATGAATACAACAACAACAACCCAGTAAAATTTCATAAGTGGGGTTTGGGGAGGGTAGTGTGTACGCAGACCTTACCCCTACCCCGAAGGGGTAGAGGGGCTGTTTCCGAAAGACCCTCGGCTCAAGATAATAAAAAGAAGACAAAAGGAGAGGATATTAGATTCATCACGGAAATTATTGGAAAAATAGGAACATAAAATGCAGAAGAAAAATGCAAAGTAAAAACGATGGCTAGTAAATGGATCCAACGTCGAAAAAGAAAATATTAAGACACGACATTGCCCCTAGCTCTCTTAGACAAAACCCTACCGGACTAGGCTCACAAAGGTACAAAGTAACGCCAAGACTCAACTACCTCCTAGCCTACAACCGTAATACTCGACCTCCACAACTTCCTATCAAGTGTCATGTCCTCGGAAATCTGAAGTCTCGCCATATCCTGTCTGATCATCTCTCCCCAATACTTCTTAGGCCGCCCTCTACCTCTTCTCGTGCCTTCCACAACCAGCCGCTCACACCTCCTCACTGGAGCATCTGGGCTTCTCCTTTGTACATGCCCGAACCATCTGAGCCTCGCATCCCGCATTTTGTCATCAATGAGAGCCACGTGCACCTTCTCGCGAATATCATCATTCCTAATCTTATCCATCCTAGTGTGCCCGCACATCCACCTCAACATCCTCATTTCTGCTACTTTCATCTTTTGGATATGTGAGTTCTTAACAGGCCAACACTCAGCCCCATACATCATGGCCGATCTAACCACCGCTTTGTAGAACTTACCTTTGAGTATCGTTGGCACTCTCTTGTCACACAAGACTCCAGATACTAACCTCCACTTCATCCATCCTACCCGATACGATGTGTGACATCCTCGTCGATCTACGGTATGGTACAGTATGAATATGATGCAATAAATGCATCAAAATTGTACGCGTCACGGATTGCATGTCGAATTACCGGCTTAATGGATGTAATGGACAAATGCACTGTTTATAGATTATTTTGTTTTGTTATAAGGGGTATAGATAATCACTTGATTTCATCCTGCAAAAAGCGAAGCAAGTTGAACTTTTTTGAAGATTCAACTCAAATTTGGTAACTGCTAACCAAGGAAGACTCCGTCCCAAGGACGACCACAGAAACTTAGCCTTCGGATTGGACAGACTATTGACGCTGCTAAGATATCCATATTTCTTCTCTTTAACTCTTAAAGATTTCATTTTTTTCAATCTTCAAATATGAACTTGAATTTCGTATGAGGTTGGAGTTGGAAAGGTCTAGGCCACTCCTCTCTACAGGAACAAACCAATTTAGCGTTTAGACAATACCAGAGAAGTGTCTCTTGAGGAAAAAAAAAATTCTAAAAAAAAAGTGTGGCAATTGATCTTAAAAGTTATAATGGGCCTCCAGACCATTAAAGCATCTCTGAAGATTGGCTACCCTCTACTGGAAAACCAAAAATCTAGAGTAACAAAATACTTTGGGATTCCCTCCCCCCTCCCCTCTCCCCGTTTTTTTTTTAGGACAAATCGGCAAACAGAAAGCCAATGGGGGTTGAGACAAGAAAAAAAAAAAGGAATTTTTACCTCCTATAGCAAAGGTTGATACCTTATTTATTTTAAATAAATACCCTTTTAAAAAATTATATTCCATAGCTACCTTTTGATTTTTATAGCCAAATATCTATTTATGGTCACCTCCTACCCTTAAGCCATAAAATACGCTTTGGATTATTTTTCTCTCTTATTCTTTCAGATTTTTCTCCACCCTCTCTCTGTCTCAACGCCAGTCTTTCTCCATGAATACAACCACAATTCTCCACTGATTCATCTCCGTTGTCTCGGAAAATTTTCATTTGAGTGATCATCGACGGCGGAGAATGACAGAGAGGAGCAAAACTACCCATTGAAACTCCCTATAGCTCTCTGCTTTCACCGCACCAATTGTTATTTTTGTGTTATTGCCGTTTCTTATATATTGTGCCCTAATCAATTGGACCTTATTTCAAAAGCCCATTCCGAATCTATAGGGAGTTCATCCTTTCTCATCCATCCACTTTTGCTATGGCTAACAGGGCAGGCTTTGACGTTCCTCTTCCTTCCTCAATTCGTCATTGAAGGCTTGAAGGCTTTGACGTTGTTTTTTCTATTAATTCGTCATTGAAGGATATAAGTTAATTCGTCTTTATCAATCAATTCGTCATTGAAGGATATAAGTTTCTGTGATTTCTACATCTTCTGAGACATGGCATTGAAGGCTTTGACGTTGTGTTCACTACCGGCTTCCAGTGAACGGCGAATTCGCCGGAAATTAGGGTTTGTTCTTGAACAAAGACGACGGAGTTTGGGGCTGAGCAACTTGATTTTCTATTAATATATTTCAATGTATTTTCATGTATTTCATTGTATTCATTGTCTTTTTTTTTTCATTGTAATTCAATGTATCTCGTTGTATTCCATGTATTTCATTGTATTCACTATTTTTTTTTCATTGTATTTCAATGTATCCCGTTGTATTCTATGTATTTCATTGTATTCACTGTCTCGCTATATGCCATGAATGTATTCATATGTTTTTTTTAATCAATATAATTTATGTATATAGATGTATTATATAATTTCTCTGAAGATTGCTACTCCCTCCGTTTCAAATTAAATGAGGTAGTTTGACTCGACACGGAGTTTAAGGAAAAAAAGAAAGACTTTTAAAATTTGTGGTCTTAAAAGCTTAAGGGTTAAAGCTTTGTAGGGCCATAACTTTTGTGTGGTTATAAAAGCTTCTCATTAAGGATAAAATGGGTAAAATGAGGAGTTTAAAGTTGAATTATTTCCAAATTTAGAAATGTGTCATTTATTTTGGAATAGACTAAAAAGGAAAGTACCTCATTTAATATGAAATGGAGGGAGTATGTTTTTGGTGTATTTTCCGGTTGAGAATCTTTTTTATAACTGAAAATACAAAATTTGTGTGTTATAATTGAGTTTGTTGAGTTATATTAGAAGTCTATTATGTTAATTGATTCACTTTCCGTTTTAAAAACAGTGTAATCCCCTATTTCACGCCGTGAATACAGTCGAATACAATAATCTGTCCAGCTGTAATCCCATGTTTCACTCCATGAATACAGTCGAATACACTCGACTGATTCACGCCTATTTTTGCTACTGTATTCATGAATACAATAGCTTAAATACATCAAATACATCTTATAACCACAGAAAAGGTATCTATAATTCGTAATATAGCAAATGGTATCTATAGATGGCTAATTACTACTAAAAGATAGTACTTTATGAAAATTTCTCAAAAAAAAAAAAAAACTAACTACGCCAGCAGTCTTCTCTTCCTATCACTTCACTTCGTTCTAGAAATCTGATCTCACCGGGCCGGGCGAAGGGGAAGGAAGAGATGGGTGGTCCGGGAACACTCAAATGGGCGGGGGCTTTCTATTTGCTTGCAATGCCGGCTGTTCGCCTTTAGTTAGAAGTAGAAGTAGAGGGCGCCGTTTGCCCCACACTTCAGAAAGCTTTCTATAAAAATACCTTAGAAGCACACAAACTTTGCTGGCGCAAAACTGAACTTACAAAATTCACTCCCGGTGGACCAGTATAGTCCCAAAAATGACCGCCAAGGTAGCACTCGTATAATTTATCCATTTCCTGGCACATATGAAAAACAATAGTAAACGGATGGGTTCTACAGGGATCCTGTTAAGTAAAACCAGTGCGGTCTCTAAATAGAAGACTTACTTGCATCACAATTAAGACCCTTTTTTTTTAGTTTCAATCAAAGCCCAAAGATGCATGTAACATCAACACATCATACAAATTAACTTCAAGGGAGAAAAACAAGGACCTCTGAGGTATGAGAAAAAGAAATAAGTAGAGAACATACACAACAAAAACTAGGTGAGATACTTTTTACGTCCCACTACTCTACAAATTTTACTACAAGGTAAATCCAATGCTGCACAACCCATTAAAAGTTGGGGTCACAATCAAAAATGAGAAAAAGAAGGCAGAACAGGATATACGCAGCAGACAACAGTTGAAGCATGCAGTTGGAGCATACGTTAGTTCGCTCCAATGTCTGCTGAAACCTCACAAGCTAATAAGTGTTTCCTTACATATGTTCCTTCTCATCAGTCATGAATTCGTGCCAAGTGGTCTCAATATGCAGAGACCGTGATTCCACCATGTAAAAGTTTTCCAACAGCCAAATTGAACTGCCACACTCTCTAACGTTTAAGCAACACATGCAATAAATCCATTACATTAATATTTAATACACAGCAAGCATTTATCCAGAAAGGAGCGGCGATCTTCCCCCCAATAAAACACCGCTTCAAGTTCTTGACCTCCGAACAGGAGACCTGCTGAAATTATTAAGGAAAAATGGGAACATGAGCTCTAACTATTACAAAAGCTTATAGAGCCTAGCTAGTTTAAATAGTAGAAAAATGAAAAATTTGTCAGAGACACATATCTACCTGCGATACCTTCCATACTCAGGACTCCTGTATCGATCATAGGCAGGACTATGAGAACGGCCATAATCAGGGCTAGGTCGACTCCTTTGATACATTGGGCTTGGTGACCTTCGAAATGGACTATCCCCGTGCCTGCCATAATCTCTTCCAGGGCTGCCATACCTGTCCCCCCTCTCGCCATCATCCCTCAAAGCATACTCTACAGAAACCACTCTGTCCAGGATCTTACTGCAAATGCAATAATCACTTCTTGTCAGGAGACAAGAAACAATAGCATAACATGGATGTGAAATCACAATGTAAGCAAATACAAAAAAATGCACTGACAACCTCATGTGTGTACTCTCCAAGGCTTTTGTGGCATCTTCCTGATTTTTAAACTGCACAAATGCAAAATTCCGCCGTATGCGAACATTAAGGACCTCTCCGTACGGTTCAAAGTGTCTTTCTATGTCACGCACCCTAGTGTGATTAGGGTCAAAGTTAATGACAAACAAAGTTTTTGTAGGTCTTTGGTTTGCTGCAACCTTGGAGCCATCATGAGGTCTACCACGTTCACCCTGTCGAAACAAAGTTATAATAGCGTAGTTCTTTACATAGACTGTTGATCATAATATCAATCATGTTGCCTCTTGGAGAAGGTAATTCTAATGGGATGGCAGTTGCCACATTTGGGAAAGAAGAGTGCAATGAAATACCTTAGCCCATTCCACTGATAACCGACGTTTGTCATACCCAAATGGTATGTCGTCAAGACCACGGATGGCATCTGCGGCATCGCGCTCATCCTCAAAGTAGACAAACGCAAACCCTGTAGTTGTAAAGACTCCATTATAAGGCCAAAGAAAAGCATGAGAACAAAGTTTGAAAATCTTTTGAGCAGATTGTACATCAGCTAAATCAAAGCTATAATTCCCTTTAGGAATTAAATAAAGTACAACACCTGCAAGTATGTGAAGGCCTGATGAAAGTAAGGAGGTAGAGAGGCCTTGCATGAACTAAATCATGATGATGATGAAGGCTTATTAAATGTTTAAATCCAAGATGTCAAGTCTGAGTCATTGCTAAGCATGCTTCACCAATTCACAGCACGATTCGAAATAAGGAGGCATGGCATGATAAGAATTCATTGATCCGCTTATTACTAGTGGTAGGCATGGCATGAAGAACAGACAAATCCCATCACAACCATTCTTGAAAAATGGCAACATGGGCAGTGAAGTAGGTGAATGACGGAAGATCAGTCAAAGTAATGCAGAACAACTCCATCATTGAGAAGGAGAGCAAGAAGACAGATAGGTGGCCTTGCAATAGAAGTTTTTGCAAGTGTTGAGCCATGATAGAAGCTCTTTTTCCTTGGGAGACATTCCTGCGTCAAAACAAACACTTAAAATGGAGATCTTCTCCAAATGAATTTCACATTTGGCTCCCCACCATGTCCTACCATGTCATGTGCACACATACATAGCTAAAACAAAGTAGCTATGTAGCAAAGCAATATATTTAACCAAAATAATCACCATCATAGTATCCAAAAAGTAAAAAAGCCTGTACGCATAAGCTGGGAGGGGGAATCAACATAATATTGTTGATATAAAAATATTAATCAACAAACCCGACAATGCTCATCCCAAACTAATTAGGGTCAGCTACGAGTGGGACACATAAAAATCATCATAATTAGACTATTTTTACAGGGGTCTGGACCAACCCACTCCTTTGACATGGTTTGAAAAGGCTACACGTAGCTAAAGAGCAAACATTAATAGCTCCAGGAAGATCAGCACTAACAAAAATTTAAAACCACACCTACTGACATTAAAGAATCATGTAATTCGAACAACTGAAGATACAACCACCTACTGGGTTTTAACTTGCAATATAATTCCACGAATAAAGCCATTAGGATCTTTTTTATTTCCAATATATTTGTGTCTATCATCTTTGTTATTCATTTCAGTATCAAGAATGCATAGTACAATAATAAAACTAACTAAACCAACAGAAAATACGAAAGAGAAAACAAAAAGGATACCATTTTTCATGTCAACACGCTCGATCCTTCCATACTTGGAGAACAATCGTTCCAGTTCTGATTGACGTGTATCATACTCAAAATTCCCCACGAATATAGGCCTCATATTCGACTTCCCGCTATTGTTTACCTGAAACACATCATCAACAATGCCATCAAATGATTTCAAGTATAAGTACACTTCTCCTGGCGATCAATTAATTAACTGCTTAACTACATGCCAATTGCAAACTATATGAATTCTATGTAGCAATTAGGGGAATATAAAGGATTTACCAGAAAAACCCTACAACCCAATGAAAGCATTTGTCTTGTAAGGGGACAGGAACAGCTTACATAGGTACTTTTGCTCCGAATATTACCTGATTTGGGCCCGTTTCCAATCTGTTTCGTTGCAATACCCTACGGGTGGGTCAAAGCCCAGTTCATGGTGATGGTATTTTCTCGGGCTGGCTGGATGAGGCCCAGATCCCTTTTTGTTTTGGAGTTTATTGATTTCGTGGCAGAAATGACACCAGATAGCCACTCTAAAGGGCTGCTATTTAAAAATGGGATCTTTACATAAATAGCTGACCATATTCATTGTTTACTTTTTCAGACATATACATTGATTATACATAATTATACACATATAATACATAATTATGGATATATTATACCTCCACTGGCTATTTTTAGTTTAAGCAGTTGGATGAGCAGCTATTTGGTTAATTCTTCTATAAAAATTAACCTGAATTTAAGTTTTCCAGTTTCATATTTGTCCTGAAGTTAAGATTTTTAGTTTAAAATTTTAGGACGAAATAAGTGTTGGCTAATCTCTAAATAACATCTCTTAGAATGGCTATCTGTGCACTTGTCCCGATTTCGTGTCACTGTTTAAATTTTTACTTCGTTTCAATAATTTTTGCAAAAATAGCTATGTGTTAGAATTTGGCCACATGTCAGGAGTTTTGATCGATGGGAAACTTCCTTGCTCGCACAAGTCCAATTTTGTGTGTCATAACTTCGGAACGAACACGAGCCCTAGTGAGAAACCCTCTTGTCTTGCCTCGTCAAGCGTTTTCGGACAATTAGTTTATCATAGGAATATCGTTTAAAGCTTGGACAAATTTTAAAAAAGTCTTGCTATTAAATCTACGATAAAAGCATATGGAACTGAATGTTCGAATTATTTTATTATGCACATTGAACTATTAATTTAACATGCGTAACTAACATTATTGTTTGCCAATCATAACTTGCCTGCCGCAGTGACTTGAGTCACATACACACGTTTTGATATGAGATAAAATAATTTAAAAAAATGTTTTGTATCAAGTAGAAAAACATAGTCCGAGCCGCTTAAATAAAACACAAAGATTATAAACGTAACCACGATAGGTGAATGTATTTGAGTTATGGACGGATAGGTTATATGGGTAGGAATTTTTACATTCCTATACACTATATGAAACTATATTACCCTCATACTCAAGTTTTACTATAATTACATTTTATATACCCAATTACTATTTATGTATATTTTAAGGAAATTAATGATAATAATTAGTGTCCTAAGTTTTACTCCCCCACGTTTCTCTCTCCACATCCCACCCCCTCTCCCACGTATCTTGCACAGAGAGCAGCAATTCCACCATTGACAATCATTTAAAAGCTTTGAAGCTTTGAATTCGAATTTGGGTTTTCAAAAAACATTATTTGTTTGAATTGGATGTTGTTGCAAAGAATTGAGAATTCTCTCTACGTCTTTCTCTAACTCTCAATCCCAAATGTTAGTAATGTAAAGCAAAGGAAAAGAGAGCAACATTTCCACCATTGACAGCCATTAAAAAGCTTTGAAGCTTTGAATTCGAATTTGAGTTTTCAAAAATCATTGTTTGTTTGGATTGGGTGTTGTTGCAAATAATTGGGTATATGGTTTGGAGTTTATAGCTCAATTTTGAGGGGTTTTGGTGAAGATTAGACTTGGTTTTGACTGAATTTCAGATTGAAACTCGAAGAAGAAGAAGAAGAAGAAGAAGAAGACGACATGACATACATTATACTGTAGAAATTGTAGTAAAATTGTAGAAAAATTATAGAAAATTTGTATTCTGTTGTTTATATATTTTTCTTTTATTCATTTAACTATTGTATAAAAGTTGAACAACATTGTATAAAAATTATATTTAAGTTGTATGATATTGTAGTTGTATATAACTGAGTAGAAATAATGTATGAAAATTATAGATAAGTTGTATAATATATAATTAGTTGTATGAAATTTATTTTTACTATGTATAAATCAGATACAAAATATACAAAAGACATATTGTATAAAATTTGAATTTAAGTTGTATGTTATTATAGTTGTATTTAACTGGGTAAAAATAATGTGTGAAAGTTGTAGATAAATTGTATAATATACAATTAGTTGCATGAAATTTATTTTTACTATGTATAAATTAGATACAAAATATACAAAAGACATATTGTATAAAATTTATATAAAAATTATTTTTTAAGTGGTATGATATTGTAATTGTATATAACTTGATATAAATAATGTATGAAAGTTGTAGATAAATTGTAGATAAGTTTCACTGCCGCATTCTCTAAATAGAACTTTTCTCATTCTCTCACGAAAAAAGCATTACTGATTAGAAGAACTGTGGTAACTCCTTTAGGCAAAGGTGGCAGTTCAGAATTCAAATGATTTTCCCTTAAATCCAATAAAAGCAAATTACACAAGGCAGTTAAATCTGGTAATTTACCAGAAATCACATTGTGTGACAGAACAATGTCAATGAGGGTTGTAAGTTTAGACACAGAAATTGAAAACTGACCCTTCAATCTATTATTCTTCAAGCTTAAAATAGTAAGATTGGTTAACGAATCAAACCAATCAGGAACAGTATCATTGAAAAATTGCCATCAAATGTTAAAGTATGAAGCTTTATCAATCTTGACATCTGAAAAGGAACAGAACCAAAGAGAAAATTTCAACTCATATCCAAAAGTTCAAGTGAAGATAACCTATGAATTTTATCAGGTAGGGGTCCCCAAATACCAAGTGAAACTAAAGTAAGAACCTTTAAACTATTTAACCTTGTCAATGTTGTAACAAAAGAATCAATTGAAAAACCCTCAGATAATGTTTGATTTGGAACAGTAAATCCATAAAATTGATCATTTAGCTTAGTCAACTTATCTCCTTTAATGTTGAGCTCAGTAACTGAGTTGTCTTGACAGGTAATACTCATATGCAGTGTTGAAGTCAAGCTGCAAAAATCTCCATTGTAATTCTCCCAAACATCAAGCTGAATTGGATATTCTAAGTGTTTTTATCAACTAAAGTAAAGCTTGAGTTTCATAAGACTGTGCACTTCCAAAGACGTGAAGTTTCCCCGGAAGCAAAGAAAAACAACGGTTTGCTGGAGAGAAGAGGGGAGAGAGGAGAGAAAGAAGAAAATGGTGTAACTAAATCCCTTGATTGAAGCCACAAATAATGGATTGGGAGCCTTTTAAGGTAGATTGTATATATTTGGTAAACAAAACTTGTTTATGCCAGGTAATTAGTTAAACATGAACATTAAGGGTAATAAAGTTTCAAATAGTGTATATATATGAAAAAATCCCATATGTGTATCCCTGTTATGTTTTGATGATCTAACAAACTTACTATTACAAACTAGATAAGAAACCTGATACACATCCTCAAGAACTTAAGATAACAAGTCTCCAGCCGTGGACACAGTTAAACTCTTCAGAGTCAAAGGAACAATAGAGGGAACAAATAGCTACGAGTTCCCGTGGTGACTGTACAAGTCAACTGCCCCAGCTGTAAAGTTGTTGCCTGCACACGCAACAATGCAAGAACAGTGCAGCAGTCAACTTTATGGGGAATGCCTTTACCAAACTTGCTTACATCATTCAAGTGATGTCACAAATGAATTATTAACATCAAGCAAAGATAAAATAAAACACTTGCACATTCAAGATTTGATCTGATTATTCTCTCAAGTCATCTATCAATCTTGCAAGTGACTCTCAAGGGCATCAAGAACAAAGAACAACATAACAACGGACCAGTTCCCTGTATCGAATTATTACATGTCCTTAGTTGTGGTGTACCTTTGTTGAAGCACTCTACTTATAACTTAGCTTAGTTAGAAGCATTGTGTAGGGAATCTTTGTAAATCATAAACCCTTGTGTTTGTGTCTTGGCTAGAGTTAGTCGAGTTGTAAGTCTTTGTAAAAATGTTATTACAAAGTGGCTTGTAATAGAGTTGTTACAAGTTAGTGAGGGATTAAGCGGTTAATTACTAGGTTACAATAGGTTGTAATCTAAAGTTTGCTCCGTAGTGAAGTTGAAATCCTACAAGGTTAGGTTGTGGTTTTTGATCCCGTGAGCTGGTAGGTTTTCACGTAAAACTCCATTGTGTCATTTACTTATTGTAGTGCGTGTGTGTTCTGTAGGAACATATAGAGAACCTGGTTCTCTATATAGTTTGGTGGACCCTTAATTTCTAACAATTGGTATCAGAGCAGGTTCTTTCTATCAGGCTAACACCTAGAAAGGATCCTCATGGTTGCTTCGCCAAACTTCGAAGAAGGTCAGTCTACTTGCTGTAAGGCCCCGTGAAAACTTCTACTCAAAATCCGAAAGCTCGTAGTGCCAAATTAGGAATATGTGTTAGAAATTTGCTGCGGTTCGGACCCTTTGGACTGATCTATGCATTAAAAAGTCAAGGAATAATATTTTCCAGAAAAGTGCGAATCTGCAGTCCAGTATGCGGTCGCATAATAGCTATGCGGACCGCATAGTCGCCGCTGAGTCAAGCAGTGTGATGGTTAATTTTTAGGTCAACTATGAAGCCAATTATGCGATCGCATAATCGATATGCGGGCCGCATAATCGTCGCATAATCCCCTTGGAATTTTTGCGATGAGCAGTTCTGTGGTGCATTATGCAACCGCAGAACAGGTATGCGGACCGCATTCTTGTCGCATACCCAGGCAGTTTGTTCAGGTTTTTGGGATAAGGGTGACTACATTGCATGCATGTGTTCTTAGAAGATATGTGGAAATTATAAATAGAGAGGCATGGGGAAAGGGCTAGTGTAATCTTGCATAAAAGTACCATAAGACTTTAATGAACACTCAATGCTTGATAAAATGCTCAAGCGAGCTAAGATTATGATCTTTTCCTGATTATGGGTTCAATTGTGCTACATTGCTTAAATAGATTGAAGTATAAAACATTCCGAAACATTATAGGATTAAGGGAAAGCTCTATTGAGGTTTGTATGGCTAAAACCCCGTCTTTTAGAAATTGAGCTCCGTTGGTGTTTGTGTAAATACGGTAAGATTAAAGTTGAATTATTGTATTAATTGTTGTTTCACATGAATTTGGGGTTGCAACCTTATATGCGTGAAAGATGTCTCTCAATATGGTCAATGTGCTATTTTTGATAACTTGAAAAGGTGCGAGGAATATGAATCATGTATTGAGATGCTTAAGACCTTAAATTGAGATTGAAGCTGCATATGTTGTGCCATTTATGTGAAGTCTCATCTATGCTTACAATTTTATTTTCTCTTGTGTGCACATATTATCCCAAATTACAAATCTAACATTGAAATTGGGAATGATGTGAGATGTGGCCTAGTGCCAAATATATGACGTGATAGCCGTGGCCCCAAGTGCCATGAAATGATATATGTGAAACAAAGATTGAAATGAGATGATTGATGGAAAAGAAAAACGCCTTGGTAAGGCGGCCTAGCCGATCGGGCCGAGATCGGACGGCATGCCGCACACATGGTGGTATTGTGTTTGTGATTGAAGTGTATGTCTCAAATGAGGCAACCTAGCCGATCGGGTCGAGATCGGACTCAGCTCAATATAGCGGTGGTATTGTGAACAATGATGAACAGTATGAAATGCCCCAAACTAAAAAGCTATGGAAACACGATGTGAAAATTGTATGATTCTTTTATTTGATAATGTTGTGATCATCTAAAGTGTTTGAGTTATACTTCTGATTTCCTTATTCTTGTATGAAAGTTCTTTCTAACTAGATGGTGTTTAGTTATACATATTAGTACTATTCCATGGTACTAACGTCTCTTTTGCCAGGGGCGCTACATTTTTAAATGAATGTAGGTGGTTCCATAGCGGACACTGCCGATCGTGCGTAGCGGAGTGTCCTCCTTTCGAAGTCTTGGTGAGCCCCCTTTCTCCTTCAAGGGGTTATGTTGTACATCTTTGTTGTATACTTCCACTTTTGAGGTATAGCCGGGGCCTTGTTACCGGCATTGTCATAATTTGTCTTTTGTATCCATAGAGGCTCCGTAGACGTTTGTGTGGGTTACGTATGGGTGTTGGATGGGTCTATGAACTATGTTGTAACTCTAAACTCTTGTTTTCTCTAAATTGTAACTGTATAGAAATCTTGGAACCTAACTACGGGTTAAGGTTGTGATATAAAATGAACTATCAATGTTGAATGTACAGCCCCTCCTATTGTCTAATTAATCGAAAGCCGGATTCCTTAATTATATTGAGTTGGTTAGAAAGTGTTTGATAAGGCTTGCTCAGTTAGGTTCACTCGATTGAGCGCCGGTCGCGCCTCCTGAGGTTGGAGCATGACAAACTTGGTATCAGAGCCTAAGGTTTTAAAGTGTCTTAGGACGTCTCGGAGCCGTGTCTAGTAGAGTCCTTCTTATCGGTGTGAAGTCGACCATATCTATAAGTTGGAGGCTACTTGGGCATTAGGAATAACACCCTTCTTTGATATTCTGGATCATGCGGCAATTGTGAAACTATTCCTCCTCTAACTAGTGCTTTCCTTCAATTTTCAGTACATGGCACCCAAGAAGAAGGCCAGAATTGGCCAAGGAGCCAGTGCCACCCCAGGAGTGGCCGATGATTCACTACTTGATACTGCGGGTGAGGATAATTGCCCTGCTATCACCCTGCCTGATTTCTAGTCCGGAGCAGACTACCTCAGTTCCTGCACCTACGGGGGGTACCACTATCTCAGTCCGGAGCTGAACAAGGCAAGGCGAGTAGTTCAAGGCTACAATCAAGAAGAAGGGATTGACTATGATGAAACTTTTGCTCCAGTTGCTCGAATGGAGGCTATCAGAATTCTCATTGCATTCGCGTCCCATATGGAATGCAAATTGTTCCAAATGGATGTCAAGAGTGCATTTCCGAATGGTTTTCTAAAGGAAGAGGTCTTCGTCAAGCAACCACCTGGATTTGAGAATCATGAGCATGTCTTTAAACTAGAAAAGGCTCCTCGCGCTTGGTATGAAAGGTTGTCAAAATTTCTTCTAGAAAATGGTTTTACAAGAGGAAAATTAACAACACCCTTTTTTCTGAAGAAACAGGAAAGGAACCTACTCATTGTGTAAGTCTATGTTGATGACATCATTTTTTGAGCAACAAACGATTCTATGTGTGAGGAATTTGCAAAAATCATGGGGAGTGAGTTTGAAATGAGCATGATGGGGGAACTGAATTTTTTCTTGGGTTTACAGGTGAACTCCCAAGGGGACAATGATAAGTTAGCAGAAGTACATCAAGGAGCTGCTGAAGAGATTTAACATAGAAAGACAAAAAATTATTGACACTCCCGTTGCCACATCCACTCGTCTAGACATGGATGAACCTGGTTCTCCTATAAACGAGACCATGTATAGAGGCATTTTGGGTCACTTCTGTATCTCACAGCAATTAGACCAGACATTGTCTTCAGTTCGGGACTTTGTGCCAAGCTTCAGTCCAATCCAAAGGAGTCTCATCTGAAGGCTGCAAAGAGAATTCTGAGATACCTCAAGGGAAAGCAGGACCTGTTTCTCTACTATACCTCAGGAGATAACTTTGACTTAATAGGGTACGCCGATACTGACTATGCTGGTTATCTGGTGGACAGGAAAAGCACTTCTGGTATGGCACACTTTCTGGGGTCGTGTCTAATCTCATGGGGCACAAGAAAACAAAACTCAGTGGCTCTTTCAACTGCTGAAGCTGAGTATGTGGCAGTTGCCTCTTGCTATGCTCAACTGTTGTGGATCAAGCAATAGCTAGAAGATTTTGGTGGTTCTCTGATTTTGTGCCCTCACTGTGTGATAACACTAGTGCTCTCAACATGGCAAAAAATCCAGTTCAACATAATAGAACAATGCATATTGATGTGCGACATCACTTCCTCAAAGACAATGTTGAGAAAGGGCACATATGTATGAAGTTCTGTAGCACAGAAGATCAAATTGCAGATATCTTCACCACAGCACTGAGCAAAGAGCATTTTGAAAAGAATCGCCTGGCACTAGGGTTGATGAAATCAAGCTGAGGACCTGGTCCCTTGATGATTGGCTACGAAAGAGATGTATAGGTAAAGCGGATAAAAAGTTTTTTCTGGCACAATCTAACTCATCTTTATACCGTTACAGGTAGACACACATGACAATTACAGAGCAAAGAAGCATCTAATGCATTGCACGTTGGTCAAAGGATGAGGCTAACATTTGCAAAAATTGTCGGGGAACCTGGTTCCCTTGACACAGGTTAGTAGTTCCTCTGTACTCTCATGCACAACTTTTAACGGCTGAAACGGTGCCACGTCATCAATTTTCAGTTTTTTTTTCTGCCGTTTGAATCCGAACGCCTCGCCTCTTTATGACCCGACCCGACTACCCAAATTGCCACCCACTCCTAACCGGTCCCTTACTCTTATTAAATAACCTCTCTCAGTCACTTTCACAATTATCCACATCAAAGAATCCAAAATTGCTCTTTTCCCTTCTTCAAACCAAATTCCTTGTTCTTCAACTCACTAAACTCCATCATGACTGAAAATCAGGAAGCCCAAAGTGCTCCAGTCATCGTTTCCACTATGTCTTCACCTATTGAAACACCAGTGTTAGAGCCAACACTCCCCACTCCAGCCAGTCCAAACCCTAAATCAGAGTCACAACCACCCACTTCTACGACCTAGTTGAGTACTGGTTCTCATTGGAGTCGCAAAACTACGACTCCCAAAAAGTTTGTGGCTGTGACCTCTCCTTTTGCCTCGCCTAAAGCAATGGTCGAACAGGAAGAAAATCCAGAATTCACTAGTCTGCCTGTTCAAGAAAGCTCTACTCTTGAGGGGGAACAAAATGTTGGCCATATACCGGCTGAATAGACAATGACGACCCCTAGCCTTGATTCTACAGGTAATACTTTTCCTACTTCTGAGTTTACCATGGGGGTACAAGAACAAGAAGACATAGAAAACATGTTGTCTATAGCTGTTGAAGGAAGTATCATAGGGGGTGGTGAAGGTGTGTCTGATTCTTAGAGGGAAGAAAATAGTATACTAGTGGAGAGTAGGGAACTGGTACCTGTTGAACCATCAGCACCGGACAGTGCTACTGGGGCACCTACTAAGGGACCTGATCCCTCCACCCAAGATGAGCCAACCCCTGGTTCCTCTCAATCACCCCAGGTTAGTATTGATCCTTCTCCCTCTCCTCACTTTTATGCTGAGCCTTTGTCCATAGTTATCCCTGAGATGCGATCCTTGTCCGAGGAGGAAAAGGAGGATAGTGAAGAAGAAGATTATGATAATGTGGCTCTAGCGAGCTTTATTAGTGCTAGAAGTAGAAGGCACCTCCACATGGGTCAACTTCTAAAAGACCCATCACGAGGTTGCAAAAGAAGGAAGAATTTGAGTCTGTTTTAAGGCAAAGTAAAAAGGAAAAGACGAAGAGGAGATTTGGTGAAAGATGGAAAGGCTGTCAATGAAAAGGTAGTGCCTCCTACAAAAGTTGTGAATGTTGATAATGATGTCACAGAGGAACTAGTTTCCTTGGTTCGTAAGTCCTCAAAGAACCTTACTGTTCCAAAGACCAAAAGGGAGTCTTCTATGGTTAGAAAGGAGTTGAGATGGGTTGAGGGTGAAAAATTTGTTGAGAAAGAGAGTGAGATGCGTGTGAGCAATGCTGAGGGTGAAAAATCTAGTGAAAATCTGGTTAAAAAGTCTGTTGAAAAAGAGTCTGTTGAAAGAGTGTATGGGAAATCTGCTGAGAAAGGAAAGAGTGCTCGAAAATCAGTGAAAAGGAAGAGTAATGCCAGTGAGGATCCTGGTTCGTTCAAAAGGGCCAAGGTTGATGATGCCCAGGATGCTGGGAAGGCAAAATTGAAAAATCAAAAAGTGTTGTGGGGCTGTACATTTGCCCCTAATATTCTGGATATGGTTGGTATGCGTCAATTGGTGGAAATATGTGAATTTCAACAGTGGACACACCTGTTCACAGGTGACAGTCCCAAAGTGTATGAGGAAGAAGTGCGCAGCTTTTATGTCGGCTTCTTTAAAGTTGAGCACGATCATATTTGTATGATGGTGAATGGTGTTGATTTTGTGATGGACTTTGCTGTGCTGGGAAGTATTTTGGGAGTGCCTGCTGAGGGTTTGTCTACTGTTCAGGGAACCTGCTCTTCAAACTTTAGAAATGTTTTCCTGAAGGATACAATAGCTCAGCAAGGGGAACGGGTACGGAAGAAAGCCCTCCTTCCAGTGTACCAATTGTTGTTTGAAATGGTGAACAAGGTTTTGCTTCCTCATGCAGAGAGAAGATCCATTACATCTCGCGCAGACCTGGTTCTCATGGAAGCACTGGATAGCTACACAACTATCAACCTGCCCGGCATCATGACAGAACACATGCAGAAAGTGGTAGAGTTCAAGGATGGTAATCATGAGCTGCCTTACGGGTTCCTTCTCACTAAGGTGTTTGAGTTCTTCAAAGTCCCTTTGGGACATGCTAAGATGGGTACCAGTAAGAAAACCTTCTCCAAGACCACCCTAGAGGAATGTGAATGCATTGAAAATGTTGTAGGGGTCGGTAGTACTTCTACTATCTCCCAGTTGATCAACGCCCTAAACAGTTCCACTATTGAGATAAGTAAGCTGAAGGCAAGGAATGCCATTCTTGAGGATCAGCTAAGTCAGCTTCAGGAGTCACCTGGTTCCAGCATGCTAGTTTATATGAGTCCACCAAACTATAGAGTACCAAGTCCTCTATGAGTTTCCACTGAGAACGCTAATGAAATAGTAAGTAAATAAGATAGGGAGTTTTACGTGGAAAAATCCCTGCTCAAGGGGATAAAAAGCCACGACCTACACTGGTAGGATTTCAACTTCACTATGAGCAACTTTTAGATTATAACCTATGCAATCTAGGAATTAAACTCTTAATCCCTCACTAACTCGTAATACACCTATTACAAGCCACTTTGCAATACACCTATTACAAAGACTTCAACTCAACTAACTCTAATCACGACACAAACACAAAGGGTTTATGATTTTACAAAGGGGATCCTAAGCAGTGCTTCGAGCTAAGCAAATTAGGAGTTACAATGAAGAAAAATTACAAAGTTACAACTCAACTAAGGACAATAAGATACTAGATTTAGGAACTGGTCCGTAGCAGTGTTAAACTTTGTTCTTGATGCACTTGAGAATTGAATGCTCGAATATCAGATGGCTTCAATGCTTGAAGTGAATTCTCAAGTGTTCAAAATGATGTTTTGTTGTAATGCTCTTGTAAATACAACTTGGATGACATCACTTGAATGATGTAAGCACTTGGTTGGTCAAAGGGACAAGTGACTGCAGAACTGTGCTGCACTGTTTCTGTGGCAGTCACTTTCCAGCTGTACACAGTTGACTTTCGTACTGCTGTCAGGGAAACATAAGGGATCAGGTCCTTGTGTTGGTTCTCTATCTTCTAAAGTTGCAGCAGTTCACATTAGCTGGAGTCCGTTAATTATCAATGTGTACCAAGTATGTCAGGTTCCCTATCTGGTTCTTTGACATTAAGTTTGTTAGATCATCAAAAAAATAAAACTAAGACATTGAAAACCCATCAATTTCCCCCTTTTTGATGATGACAAACTTAGACATTGATTACATATTTTTAGAACAGAAATAACCAGATGAAACAACAGGAACTTCACAAGTTCCCCCTGACTTTATGCTTCCCCCTTAATCAGAACCCTGTTTCAATTATACTTCCCCTTTTTGCATCATTAAAAATACACAAGCAGACAATCAACATAAAGAAGTCTAGCCTAGCTAACTCATGCCACATAGTGCACACAACATGATAGAAAAGAGAAGCAGAGAACACAAGCATTAGATAGCAAAAGAGGATAGTTTTTATATATAGAAAACATATGCCTTTGCTATGCAGCAAAGGCACAGATTGGACTGTTATCATCGGGAGTAGTACAAGTGTATCCCAACCACATAAAAATAAACAATTGCCATGTCATCAAAACAAAAACAGAAAATCCAGAAACTGGTCACTGAAAGGGGTTGCCTAGGGGGCACTAGGAGTAGAGGGCTTGGAAGCTGCAGCAAGGGTTTGGAGAACTAGATCTATTCGGGCATTCGCCGACGTTTGCTTGGTGAGCAGTTTCTCTTTCAGGTGCTCCACTTGTGCCCTGAGATCAGCATTTTCTTTTGTCAAACGAGCTATCTCCTCATTTGACCCTAGGGCCCTTTAGGCCTGCTGACCTTCCAGGATAGCATTCCTCGCCTTCAACCTTCGAATCTCCTCAGTTGCGCTGTTTTGAGCATTGATGAGTTGAGAGATTGTCGATGTACTGCCTACCTCCCCCCCCCCCCCCCATTCTTTTTGATGCATCACATTCCTCCAAAGTTGTTTGAGAGAAGGTCTGCTTCTTGGTCCCTACTTTGCACTGTCCCAATGGCACTTTGAAGAACTTAAACACGTGCATAAGAAAAAACCCATACGGAAGACCATGATTTCCATCCTTGAAAGTTGCTACCTTCTGCATGTGCTCAGTCATGATAGCAGGCAGATTCACAGCTGAAAATCCATCAAGTGATTCCATTAGATACAAATCTAATTTTGAAGCCATGGACCTCCTCTCAGCACGGGGTAGAAGAACCTTGTTTACCAGCTCGAAAAATAACTGATAAACAAGCAACAAGGCTTTCTTATGAACCCGTTCCCCTAATGGTTTGCACCTTCCTTAAAATTGCATTTCTGAAGTTTGACCCACACACATCCTTTACAGAAGACACACCAACAGTAGGGACTTTAAGAATATCCCCAAGCAGAGCCACATCAAACACGATATCCACCCCNAAATTGGAGAACGAGAGATGCGTTAGTCTACTTCTAGGACTTTACTTCTGCCTAGAAATTTTGGGATTAAAGCTTCTCAATTCCGACATTTGAATCCTTCTCTAAGAGTGACAGCTCAATGAAACCATGTTGCGATCGACTCAGACACTACCCTTGGTAGTCTATATAAGGATCGATTCTGATGCATTATTTTCACACCAACTCTTCGAGTCTTTCCTTCCTTCTTGTAAGTCCCTGTGCATTTGTTTTGGTCTAGTTTGCCTCTTATCATGGCGCTCAACAGAATAGACGTCTTCTATCGTTCCAACTTCTGTTGAGGCGCTTTGAACTTAGCCTTGCTTTCTTTGCGTTTTCGAGTTGATCATATAATTTATTATGCTCAGATTAAGCAAAGCTTGCAACTAAAGTTGTTTCTCCCTTGTTGTTTTTGCGTTGGAGCCCCTGCAGGAGAAAATTCATAACTTGTTGTAGGAGCACCTGAATCTTAAACAGTTTGTGGAGCTGGAATGCAGACTCGTGGAACCTTGACATATTCGAAAATCACGATCACATAGATCTTGGATTTTTTCAGGTAATCTCTTCAAAATCAGGTTCTTAATTCGAATTTGCTGATGGTTTCAGATTCGCGCGTCGTCACGAGAAACTTAATAACTTTTTGAAGGGATACTAAAATCACAAACGGTTTGCAGCACTGGAAAGTATACTCGTGGAGAGTCGACTTACCTGAAAATCATGACCAGAAAACTAATAGATTTATCCAGGTAATATTTTGAAATTCAGAGTTGAGATCCTGCTATATTACGTCTCCAGATTTGCGCGCGCCCACTAGATAGCTTGTATCTTGATGTAGAAAGCCCGAAATTTTAATATTCTTCCTCAATTCCTTTCATGCAGCGTATACAACCTTGACTTTCGGAAATCAAAATGCAATTTTGTGGCCATAATAAGCCGCACCCTCATCTTGAAATCACGAGCGACGAGCAAAATCAGTCCGATAAAGTTCTCACCTTAGAAGTTCATCCTCGAGTGATCGATTACTTCCCTCTTATTAGAAAGCTTGTTGGCCCAGGTGAAGGTTTGTTTTGAAGATTGACAAAGGAAGCTCAGGCATAAACCAGGTCACCACTCTTCAATGGCCAGTACTACTCCTAGTGGAAAAATAGAATGAGAGACCACATCATAGGAGATGACTATCTCTGGAGAGGACTATGAGATATAGGATATTTTCACTAATGGTCCCCTGGCTACCATGAAGAAAAATGCTGAAGGAGTATATGTGCCAAAAACAAGAGCTGACTGCACTGCTGAGGACTTGAGGGAATGGGAGAAGAATACAAAGGCCAAGAAATGGCTTGTGTGTGGACATGGTCCAGACGAGTACAGTAGAATTCAAAGTTGTACCACTGCTAAGGAAATTTGGGACACTTTGCAAGTGGCTCATGAAGGAACACCTCAAGTGAAGAGGTCCAGAGGAACACTGGTATATTCTCAATATGAGAATTTCACCATGAAATAGTAGAAAGAGTTGAGAAGATTTTGACAAGGGTTCTGCCAGTCACTTGGGAGAGCAAAATCAATGCCATTCAGGAATCAAAGCACACTGCCACTCTTAAGTTGGATGAGCTAATTGGAAATCTCACTGCTTATGAACTTAGAAGGCAAACTATGAAGATGGATGTACCTAAGAAGGAAAATATCCTGACGCTCAGAATCGCTGAAGGTTCTGAACTAGAAGATGATGAAATGGCCATGATGACAAAGGACTTCCAGAAGTACCTAGAGAGGAAAGGGTCCTTTAAGAAGTGGAAGCTACAGAAAACCAAGGGTTCTTGAAAAGCAAACCAATGAGGGGTGCTACAAGTGTGGAAAGACTGATCACCACATCAAAAACTACCCTTAATGGGAAATTGAATGGAAGAAGGAAAGAGCTGGACGAAGAAATAGGAAGAAGGAACAGGTTCAACTGAAGAAGAACAAAGGATCAACAAAGGCTATGGTTGCTGCTTGGGGAGAAAGCTCAAATGAAAGCTCAGATGATGACCATTGGAGATTCTGATGAGAAATCTGAGCTAAGTGTAATTCATCTCAAAGACAAGATTAAATTTTTGTCTAAAGAAAGGCTATCTGAGTTACTTATAGATTTCATTGATGAATCTGAGAATGTAAACAATGAAAAGGAATAACTGTCTACGGAATGTGTGATCTTGAAAGCTAAGTGCGAAAATCTGGAACTTAGGGCTAGTGAAAGTGAAAGTGAAAATATCTTGTTGAAGAACCAAGTTCATGAACTTGACACCACTGTCCTAGAGCTTAGATATGAAAATCTAAAATTGAAATTAGGACAGGTAAACAGAAAGCTGATCACACACAACTCACTTTAGAAGAAAATGTAGGAAAAATGAAAGATCAGTTGTACAAAAGAGATGGGCAGATAAAATTCCTAAAGGATGATCTAAGCAATGTCAAGCACGAGCTAGATAGAACCTGTAAATGGAATAGGTTCTCCGATGCACTTTCATGGCTACATGAACACCATAGTAGCAACAAGAGAGGACTTGGCTACGGGACCCCAACACCTAAGTGGGATCCCATAAGCAAGTACGTCACACTTCCTGAGAACAAAATTTGCACACACTTTGGAAAAACTGGTCATTTTAAAAGTAAATGCACTGCAAAAGAAAAGGCTAGTCAAAAGAGTAACAAAATTTGTTCAAGGGAAAAATAGGCTGCCAAGTTGGGCTAAAAAGAATCCGATTCACCCTTTTGCCTATAGAAAGGGACCCAAACTAGTTTGGGTTCCTAAGACTAACCCCTGATTTCCTTTTGCAGGTCCAAAAGAAGGGGAGCAGTCAAATATGGTACATGGATAGTAGCTGCTTAAAGCATATGACAGGAAGCAAGAACCAGTTCCTTTCACTTGAGGACCTCAAAAGAGGTAATTTCTCCTTTGGAAATGGGAAGAAAGGTGACATCGTTGGGGTTGTAAAGGTAGGAAAGACTGATTCTCACTCTATTGAGAATGTCTACTTGATAGATGGCCTAAAATACAGTCTAATCAGTGTATAACAACTGTGTGATACAGGTAACTTGGTGGAATTCACCTATACCAAATGTTTTGTGATTAATCTTACCACTAGCAAGATTGTTTTGCAGGGAAAAAGAGTAAACAATATATATATTGTACATTTGTCCATACTCTCAGAAAATAAACTCGCTTGCTTAGGTGTGTTGGACAATGATCCCCTCCTTTGGCACAAGAGACTTGGACATGCAAGTCTGAGTCAACTCAACAAATTAGTCTCCAAGGACCTGGTGATAGGGTTGCCTAACATCAAGTTAAAGGAAGACAAAGTTTGTGAGGCTTGTGCAAGGGGGAAGCTGATAGTTTATATGAGTGCACCAAACTATAGAGTACCAGGTCCTCTATGAGTTCCACTGAGAACACTAATGTAACAGTAAGTAAATAAGATAGGGAGTTTTACGTAGAAAAATCCCTGCTCAAGGGGATAAAAAACCACGACCTACACTGGTAGGATTTCAACTTCACTATGAGCAACTTTTAGATTACAACCTATGCAATCTAGGAATTAAACTCTTAATCCCTCACTAACTCGTAATACACCTATTACAAAGAATTCAACTCATTACTA